AGTATGGCACCAAGGACTCTTGACAAAACTGCAAGCACTGTTTCGCTGACTGCCTTCTCAATGGAAGAGATTCAACAAAACACTACTGGTGTCAGTGTTCCATAAAAGTGTACTCTGGCCACTGTTATGGAATGATTTCAATGACCCTCTGCAACTCATCCCAAAATCCCATGCAAATGCAAATGGCTGTACTCTGACGTTTACTTATCCATGAGAGAAAATGCCAGCGGCACGAAGTTTCATCAATCACCAGCTTACAACTATATCATCCTGGGAAAAACTATGGTAGGTTACATTTCTTTAAGAAAACACACATCATAATGGTCTCTAGGCACCATGATATTAATGCTGGAGCAGTGGTACGAATAAATGAGGGAATCTTGGAACCCAGAGATGAGGTGACATCCTTGGGGTGAAATTCGATTCCAGGATGACCCAGAAGAACCACAGTGAATTTCTCAAACAAGACAGCCAGAAAGCTTACAGCACTTAAGACTTATCTGGCATCTCATCAACAATAGAGGCTGTAAGACTCTGTATGAGGCACAAATGCACTCACACCTTGAGGATGCTCCACTTTCTTGGATTGCCTGCCCCACTGGATTATCCCGTAAATAAAGCAAGTGAGAAACTTCCGTAGTGGACGGAAGGCAGGGACAGTCAAATCAAGTGTTCATCAATAAAAATGTTGAATAATCAGCATTTGTAAACAAAAAAGCCTACAAATTTGTAGGGATGACTAAGATTTCTTGTGAAAATTAACTTGTAAGTAACTAGACATGAGAAATTATCGCTTTTGAAACAAACTGCATGCAATTCTGCAACAAAGTTAATTATATACATATATGTACACATTTTTCAGTTAAAATAAAGAGTTGGGGAGTAGTAGATGGGGAGATAGAGGTTTTGGGTAGATAGAGAGAATATTTTGAGGAACTTTTAAATGTCAACGAAAAAAGGGAAGCGGTAATTTCATGCACTGGGCAGGGAGGTATACCATCTTTTAGGAGTGAAGAAGAACAGGATGCGAGTGTGGGGGAGGTGTGCGAGGCATTACGTAGAATGAAAGGGGGTAAAGCAGCTGGAACTGACGGGATCATGACAGAAATGTTAAAAGCAGGGGGGGATATAGTGTTGGAGTGGTTGGTATTTTTGTTTATTAAATGTATGAAAGAGGGGAAGGTACCTAGGGATTGGCAGAGAGCATGTGTAGTCCCTTTATATAAAGGGAAGGGGGATAAAAGAGATTGTAAAAATTATAGAGGAATAAGTTTACCGAGTATACCAGGAAAAAGTGTATGGTAGGGTTTTAAGTGAAAGAATCAGAGGTAAGACAGAATGTAGGGTTGCGGACGAGCAAGGAGGCTTCAGAGTGGGTAGGGGATGTGTAGATCAAGTGTTTACATTGAAGCATATATGTGAACAGTATTTAGATAAAGGTAGGGAAGTTTTTATTGCATTTATGGATTTAGAAAAGGCATATGATAGAGTGGATAGGGGAGCAATGTGGCAGATATTGCAAGTATATGGAATAGGTGGTAAGTTACTAAATGCTGTAAAGAGTTTTTATGAGGATAGTGAGGCTCAGATTAGGGTGTGTAGAGGAGAGGGAGACTACTTCCCAGTAAAAGTAGGTCTTAGACAGGGATGTGTAATGTCACCATGGTTGTTTAATATATTTATAGATGGAGAGGGGTGGGATTAAATTATGGGGAATTAAATACAAAATGGGAATCGACACAGTTGCTTTTTGCTGATGATACTGTGCTTATGGGAGATTCTAAAGAAAAATTGCAAAGGTTATTGGATGAGTTTGGGAGTGTGTGTAAAGGTAGAAAGTTGAAAGTGAACATAGAAAAGAGTAAGGTGATGAAGGAATCAAATGATTTAGATAAAGAAAAATTGGATATTAAATTGGGGAAGAGGAGTATGGAAGAAGTGAATGTTTTCAGATACTTGGGAGTTGACATGTCGGCGGATGGATTTACGAAGGCTGAGGTTAATCATAGAATTGATGAGGGAAAAAAGGTGAGTGGTGCGTTCAGGTATATGTGGAGACCAAAAACGTTATCTATGGAGGCAAAGATGGGAATGTATGAAAGTATAGTAGTACCAACACTCTTATATAGGTGTGAAGCTTGGACTGTGAATGCAGCAGCGAGGAGGCAGTTGGAGGCAGTGGAGATGTCCTGTCTAAGGGCAATGTATGGTGTAAATATTATGCAGAAAATTCAGAGTGTGGAAATTAGGAGAAGGTGAGGTGTTAATAAAAGTATTAGTCAGAAGGCTGAAGAGGGGTTGAGGTGGTTTGGTCACTTAGAGAGAATGGATCAAAGTAGAATGACATGGAGAGCGTATAAATCTGTAGGGGAAGGAAGGCGGGGTAGGGGTCGCCCAAAAAGGTTGGAAGAAAGGGGTAAGGGAGGTTTTGTGGGTGAGGGGCTTGGACTTCCAGCAGGTGTGCATGAGCCTGTTCGATAAGAGAGAATGGAGACGAATGGTATTTGGGACCTGACGATCTGTTGGAGTGTGAGCAGGGTAATACAGTGGACCCCCGCATAGCGACTTTAATCCGTGCAAGAGGGCTCATTGTTATGCGAAATGATCGGTATGCGAATGAATTTTCCCCATAAGAAATAATGGAAATCAAATTAATCCGTGCAAGACACCCAAAAGTATGAAAAAAAAAATTTTACCACATGAAATATACATTTTCCTACACACAAAGAGAAGGATACATGCACAATAGTAGAGTAGTACATGCACAATATTTTATTGTGCATGTACACTCTACTAAAGAAGAATAAATGACACTTACCTTTATTGAAGATGCAGCAATGACTGATGAGCACTGTGTCCGGGGAGTGCCTTTTCCTCCTGAGTACTGTAGGTCTTTTTGGGCTTTTTTTCCAGAACAGGCCTTATCACACTGTGTATGCCACTACGATTCTTAAATCTCTCAAACCAACCTTTGCTGGCTTAAATTCACCAAAAAGAGCACTAGTTCCAGGCATTTTTTCCCTGTTCACCTGGGTGTTAGTCGACTGGTGTGGGTTGCATCCTGGGAGACAAGATTAAGGACCCCAATGGAAATAAGTTAGACAGTCTTTCGATGACACTGACTTTTTGGGTTATCCTGGGTGGCAAATCCTTTTGGGGTTAATTGTTTCTTTGGGATTTCAATTTAAACCACACCAACAACGGTGCTTACAGCAGCAGGGAGCAGCAGCAGCAGCTGACAGTTTCTACAGCAGCAGCAGACGATGCTACAGCAGCAGCAGACTGTAATTACGCAGCAGCTGACGGTGGTACAGCAGCAGCAGCAGCTGACAGTGCTACAGCAGCAGCAGACGATTTTTACAGCAGCAGCAGATGGTACTACAGCAGCAGCTGACGGTGGTACAGCAGCAGCAGCAGCAGCTGACAGTGCTACAGCAGCAGCAGACGATGCTACAGCAGCAGCAGACGGTACTACAGCAGCAGCAGACGGTACTACAGCAGCAGCAGACGGTACTACAGCAGCAGCAGCTGACGGTGGTACAGCAGCAGCAGCAGCTGAGTGCTACAGCAGCAGCAGATGATGCTACAGCAGCAGCAGAGGTACTACAGCAGCAGCAGACGGTACTACAGAAAGCAGCAGACGGTATACACAGCAGCAGCAGCAGCAGCAGCTGATGGTGGTACATCAGCAGCAGCTGACGGTGCTACAGCAGCAGCTGACGGTGCTACAGCAGCAGCTGACGGTGCAGCAGCAGCAGCAGCAGCAGCAGCAGCAGCTGACAGTGGCACAGCAGCAGCAGCAGCTGTACCTCCAATAGTAGCAATGGTTGATTGGGGTTTATTATACAACCTGGCCAGCTCGGAGACACGCACTCCACTTTCATACTTATCAATGATCTTTTTCTTCATCTCTATAGTAATTCTCACCCTTATTGCTGTAGGGTTGGCACTAGAAGCTTTCTTGGGGCCCATGGTCACTTATTTTGCAGATAAAATCACCAAAAACACTGTAATAATACGAAATGTTCCGATTGTATGCTTGGATGTTACCGCGGAGGCTGGCTCATAAACAATGCCACCGGCGGCACATGTGAGGCTGGCTAAGGGCGCACATTGGACGCGTCTCGGACGAAGAGCGGTGAGCGGGTTTTTGAGCGGTATGCTAGGCAAAATTTTTGTGATAAAAGCGAGCGGTATGCGGATTGTACGTTATGTGATGGCGACGGTATGCGGGGGTCCACTGTATTTAGTGAAGGGATTCAAGGAAACTGGTTATTTTTGAATAGTTGGACTTGAGTCCTGGAAATGGGAAGTACAATGCCTGCACTCTACAGGAGGGGTTCGGGATATTAGCAGTTTGGAGGGATATGTTGTGTATCTTTATACGTACATATATGCTTCTAAACTGTTGTGTTCTGAGCACCTCTGTGAAAACAGTGATTACGTGTGAGTGAGGTGAAAGTGTTGAATGATGATGAAAGTATTTTCTTTTTGGAGATTTTCTTTCCTTTTGGGTCACCCTGCCTCGGTGGGAGACGGCCGACTTGTTAAAAAAAAAAAAATTGTACACATTTATATTTTTAAATATTCTAGATTCACAAAACCTCATGGAGCACTTATTTTATTTAGAAAGCACTAGAAACATTTAGTTATTTAAAGTTTTAAACCTCCAGTTGGTTCCCAACTTATCTTGTTCCACTGTTACGACCTAGGCAATTTGAAACCAATTAATAAGTTACCAATACAAGCTCAAGCCTTCCAGTATGTGCAGCTACTTGAGATTTACTCAGAGCTGAATTTTAAAAGAATTACATTTTTACCAGATGCACTCGTAATTTGTGCATGTTCATTTTATGCGTGTAAGGAGATATTTGTTAGAGACTGGTCCAAGAACTATAGATTTAATATTTCTGATTTTCTAAAGGCATTTGTAGCCACTGCTAGCTGCTCCCAACAAACCTGTTATCCCAACTGACTGGTGGCAAAAATTTGAAATTTACCTCCATTAGTTGCAGTAGTCCTGCGCAGCAGTGGTTTACCCTTCACTGGTGAAGCTGGAGGCATGGCACTTCCCTCTGCAAAATGCACCTGAAAATAAAAATACACAACTTCTTCAACGGAAAGTAAGTCTAAAATGCATCACATATTAATCCTTAAACTGTCCAAATGTAGTTCTACGTTCACTCGCATGGTGCTCCGAATGTAGATCTATGTTTTTTTTTTTACATTCTTTCTTATGGGGAAAATCAAGGTCGGAGTGCTACGGGGGGAAAAAAACGTAGATCTAATTTGGACATTTAAAAAGGGGTTAAAAAAATGTATATTCGGGGGGAAAATTTTTAATTTTTGGGCCAAAAGGGTGAGTGCTGGCCCCCATCAGAGCCCATGCAGCAAAGGGGGGAAAAGAAAGGCATTCAGGCTAAATTTTAAAAGAATTTGGAGGACATTTCCCAAAATTTCCCTTAAAAATAAAGGGAGCCCCCCCCCTTTTTTGGGGGTTTGAAAAAAAAAGGGGAAAAATATTTTACAACCAAAACCTCAAGTTCCCTTTAAAGTAGGAAAAAGAAAAATTAGGTTTTTTTTTTAAAAAAAATTTATAAAAAAATAAAAAATGTACTGAAAGTACTATGTACTACAGAAATCAAAGTTTTTTTCAGTGGCAGTTATGGAGAGACAAGGGAACCTCGGGGGGAGGACACTTTTAAATTTTAAAAAATTTATTCTAGACAGCATCAAAGTGAGGACAAAAATGTCCCACATGTTTTTAAAAACATTCCCCCTGTGCAGATTTTTTTTTTTTTCTTTTTAGAAAGGGGTTGAAACCCCCTTTAAGGGTTTTGCAATGATTTTTTATGGGGTTAAAATATATAAAAAATTTAAACCTTTTTTCTTTTTAATTTTAAAATTTTGGGAAAAAATTTTTGGCGATAATAGCAAAAATCGTCAATGTATGATTTTAAAATTATTATTTGACTTTTTGTTTTTTTAAGGGAAGTAACATATTAAGTGCTCAGTTCAAGTCTTGATTGTCAAACTACAAAAAATTACCTTGTACTCTTTAGACTGCCGCTTCGGAGCGGAGTTGTCCACGAAAGCAATCACGTAAATCGAGGGGGGGGGGTGTCCCCCTCGCCTAAAGTATTCGGGTCGCTCTAGACCCCTTTTTGGGGGTTTTGGACAGATTGCCCTTTCTCAAAAAATTCTTGTTAGTTCGTAGAACTCTGTTCACAGAACATTGTTTTAGATTTTAGTAAAATCCGGGCCTTTTGTACTGAGGTTGTGGGCTCATAACATTTCCAAAAAAATCTGGGGTCCTGGGGCTTTAGCTTCTCACCTAACTCGACTGGTACCCGGTGTATTATCAAAGTCGGGATTTTCTTATGTTTGAACTTAAAATTCAGTAGAAAATGGGATTTTTGGCGATTTTTGGGTGGAGGATCTGCAGGGGGTCCCTACTTGGGGGGGTTCTTTAAATTATCCCTTTTTCCCTTTGATTCTGTGTCGCATTTTGCTTGTTATATTCCCTTTTGGGGCCTTAGAAATTCTTTTTTTTGGGTTCAAGCAGACGTTCTATTGCCAGTTTGTCAAGAAGTTATTTATTGGGGACTTTGTCAGTCACTTGTTTAAGTCTAAATTGAGTCATGAGGGAAAATAGCGAACTACTTGGAGCACTTACACGCATACAAAACTTGTACATACCTTTGAATATCTTATTAAAAGTTAATGTACCAGACGGGGACTTAAAAAATTATAAATGGGGAAATGTGCTTTCAGCACAATAATAAATGGGAAAAAAAGATGTGATATTATTTTGAATTTCTGTGATTAATTTAATTTTTAAATTTTAAAAATATATCCAGACAACTTAAAGATTAATAAATTTTTTAAAATTTTAATTTCTTTTAGTTAGTAGCCTACCATTGTAATCCCGGAAAACCTATTTAAAAAATTTCGAATTTTTTTTTGGGTAAAGGGCAAGGATACTGACAAATTGTTTCGAAAAAACCCCGTAACAGGGTGGATCAAAAAGGGCAGTCCTTTCTAAATATTCCACGGAGATCTCTAAGCTTTTAGAATCGCGTTTTTTGTAACAGTAAGCTATACTGGAAAAGGGGTTACTAGCCCATTGCTCCCAGCATTTTAGCTGACTTTTACAAAACACATTGCTTACGGAGGAAAGATTCTTATTCCCCAGGTATATGAAAGGAAAAGCAATAAGAACAAGAACTGCTAACACAAAATCAAAGAGAACTTAGATGAGAGTGTATATATGAACGTGCACATGCATGTGTAGTGTGATCTAAGTGCAAGTAGCAAGATGTACCTGAAATCTTGCATGTTTATGAAACAGGAAAAAGACACCAGCAATCCTACCATCACTTAAAACAAATACAGGCTTCCATTTTACACTCACTTGGCATTAGGTTAGTACCTCCCTGGGCAGCTGCTGTCTACCAACCTACTACTACTTTCTTTTTGTTTTTTTCTTTCTTTTAGAGTCACCATACCTCAGTGGGAAACAGCCAACGTGTTTAACCCTTTGACTGTTTCGATCGTATATATACTACGTCTTATGAGCCAATGTGTTTGATGTATATATACTCAAAAATTCTAGCAGCTTCAAATCAAGCGGGAGAAAGCTGGTAGGCCCACATGTGAGAGAGTGGGTCTGTATGGTTAGTGTGTTGTGTGGTTAGTGGTGTGTGTGTGTGTGTGTGTGTGTGGGGTGTGTGTGTGTGTGTGTGTGTGTGTGTGTGTGTGGTGTGTGTGTGTGTGTGAGGTGTGTGTGTGTGTGTGTGGGGTGTGTGTTGTGTGGTGTAGTATAAAAAAAATCCTGCAGCAAGCAGTGCATAAGGAGAAAAAAAAGCTCCGACCGCTTTTTTTTTTGTAGATGAATGGTTCAAAGAACCGACAGTTAAATTAGACACATGTGCAACCTCTTGGGTAACTTTATTGAGGAAACATTTCGCCACACAGGGGCTTCATCAGTCCATACGTAGGAGAAACTTGAAGAACAGGAGGAGAATGAGGTAATCAGTCCCTCAACCTTGAGTCAATGTGTTCAGTCCATCAATTTTGAAAAGAATACGGCATATGAGCGGAGAAGCACTTAAAACCGTATGGCAGGGGGGGTGCAGCGTCGTAGGTGGTGTCACATTTGTCCAATGTTTTAGTAGGTCATGCCCAAGGGTTAGGCAAGCGAAGAATTCCCAAGTATTAAGATCCCAAGAAGTTGCAGTGTCTGACAGGATTGTAGATGAATGGTTCAAAGAACCATAAAGTTACCCAAGAGTTGCACATGTGTCTAATTTAACAACATGTCGGTTCTTTGAACCATTCATCTACAATCCTGTCAGACACTGCAACTTCTTGGGATCTTAATACTTGGGGAATTCTTCGCTTCCCTAACCCTTGGGCACGACCTACTTCCACATTGGACAAATGTGACACCACCTACGACTGCTGCACCTCTCCTGCCATACGGTTTATAAGCTGCTTCTCCGCTCATATGCCGTATTCTATTCAAGATTGATGGACTGAACACATCGACTCAAGGTTGAGGGACTGATTACCTCATACTCCTCCTCTCCTTACGCCTTCCTCTTTGTATTGGACTGATGAAGCCACTGTGTGGCGAAACGTTTCCTGAATAAAGATTCCCATATGCTGCATAAGTGTCTCAATCTTCAAACTTGTCGGTTTTTCAAACCATTCATCACGCTTTTTTTTTGGATTAAAAAGCAGACTTTGAGGTATATGTATTTTTGTATAGTTTTTATGGTTATATTCTTGTTTTTATAGTCACATTTGATAGAACAGAAAACATATTATAGAAATGGAGATGATTTTGATGGGTTTTACTATGAAAAGGACCTTGAAATGGAGCTCAAAGTAGAAGAAATGTTTGATTTTTGCCGATGTTGAACAATAAATGTCCAACTAGCCATTCTAATATGTAGTCATAAATGGGTTGACATTATTTATACAATTATTACAATACTGCAGTAGTCTGCATAACAGTAAATTTTTTGTTTCAATAAAAATTCAAAATAGAAAAAGCAAGAGTAATATCAGAGTGGCCTGAGACATGACTGATGAACAAAGAAAATGTTATTTTAGAGCCAGGAATGACTGCATTATTCATTCTGGACCCTATTTTGAAATGGGCATATTTTTTAATGTGTGAAATTGGCCAAATTGCCAATTTCTGACCACTTTATTGGGTAGTTGAAATCGGTAAATGGGCAGTTTCTTGTATTCAATTGATAGAACAAATGGAGTTCCAAAGAAATAGCTACAAGTTTGGTCGACTGGAACAATGGAATTAGCCAAAAATAGGGCTCAAACTGGGCAAAATTGCCAATTCGTAAATATTGCTGAGGTCACTAACTTCGCGAGAGTAATTCCCTAAGGTTTCCATCAAATTTCGTACTTTTGGTGTCATTACCATCGGGAAAAGATTCTCTATCATTTCATAACTTTTTTTTTTTTTCAAATATTTTGCAACACCAGGAGACACCTCAGGATTAAGGGTTGCGACAGTCGAAGGGTTAAAAAAAAAAAATTGACAAAAACCACACATTAACCCTTTCAGGGTTCAGAGGCCAAATTTCAAAGTGTGCACCAGTGTCCAAAAATTTTCAAAAAAATTTTCTTATGAAATAGTAGAGAATCTCTTTCTGAAGGTAATAAAACAAAAAGTACAAAATTTGGTGGAAAATTTACAAAATTATGCTCTCGCGAATTTTGACGTGTCAGCGATATTTACACATCAGCAATTTTGCGGACTTTGATTCCCATTTTAGGCCAATTACATTCTTCCAGTCTACCAAATTCTTAACTATTTCACTAGTATTACTTCTATTCTGTTGATTGATCACAAGATTTCGCCAATTCAAATGTTTCAACAACAAAATAAAGTGATCGGAAATTGGTAATTTGACCAATTTAATGCAAAGTTCAAAATATTCCAATTTCAAAATAGGGTCCAGAATAAACAATGCAGGCATTCCTGGCACTAAACTAACATTTCCTCTGTTCATTAGTTATGTTTTCAGGCTTTACTAATGAATTCCATTTTGATTTTT